TATTTTATTAGATTGTTCTTGAGTTTAGAAAATATATCTTGCTTATAAATCATTTTTGTGTCTAAATCATAACTAATGATATTTACAACTTGAGATTTCTCTTTTGAAATTTTTGATCTTTTTTTCTTGTAGCAGAGTTTTATTGCTTCTATCAGAATTTCTAGTCTCTACTTGTTGCTTCTTTTTCTAATAAAAGCTGAGAGAGAACCTTGGATTTTACTTTTATAGTAGAGTTTCCCACATCTTTTGTATATCTTGTTCTGATTAAGTGTACACCCCAAACATTTTTTTAGTATAAAATTACCAGTGTTGTATATATCTATCAACTTCCGATGTTCTACTAAAATCTTTTTAAAGGTTCTTGCAACTACTCTTGAAATTACTATCTTTAGGTCTTTTTCGCTTATTACTATATTAATAACTACCTAATTTTTAGTTCTGTTATCTGAGAATAGTCTTGCTAAATAAGCTTTCAAAACCAAGCTATTGTTTACTTCTGTTTTGTATTAGTCTTTTACTTGTCTGTCTTGTAGACTTAATAGCATTACTTCTTTGATTTTTTAAACTACTTCACTACTCAATGCTTGCTTGTTCTCTTTCTAGAAACTTAAGTTGCTGTTATATTATCATTTGATCATCATTTAGATTTAATAGTTGATCAATAAATATTAAATCTAGTTCTTTTAAACAATGGTATTATATTAACTTTTATTATATAAGGTCTTTATTCTTCTTTTTTACAAATTTTAACTTGCTTGACAATATACATAGGCTGGATTAATGTTTTAAGTACTTTCACTATGTCAATTCTATACCTTTAATACTATAAAGCCAACTACAGTATATTAATTATAACATTTTTTACTAAGCAAACTTAATTACTTTATTATTATTAGAGATCACTATCTTTAAATACAAGATTATCTCTGAATATATTTTTATCTGGGTTATATGCATTATGCTATACATATATATAATTAGACTTTAAATTAAATTTATATATCACTGATTATGCTATTTATATATCCTAATCCAGGTTGAACCTGGTATCACAAAATTATAGAGTACCGAAATTTACTATAACATGAGCTAGATCTCCCAAAACTTCATCTCTGAAGTTTTAACCTCTGTAAAATCCAAACTAGCAATACAAGATATCTTATTTGCAATACTTCATACAACTACCAAATCTAATACTATTCTAATATACTAAACTAACACTAAATTTTTTTTAAATAGCTTTAGATTTCTATTATAGTATTATTACACTTTTAAATTCAAATATACAAGTTTATATATTTTGATCTGATTTCCAAACAATATGTGTTCAAATCCATCATATTCGATTCTATAATCTAGATATAGATGGCTGTAGAATTCTCTTTTTCTTATTCGATCTAATATATTCAACACTGGAATTAGATTCCTATTATAAGATTTTTGTGATTTAGACATCCCAGTTCTATTCTATTCACATTTGATACCACAGTAATATCTAAACAATAATATATAATTTGACCTTTTTCTTAGATTCATCTTATCATTTTCAAATCTATACATTTGTAGCAGATCTTTTGCATCTTCATCATTATCAGTTTTTGTGACATTTGTACTTTTATTTTGACCATCAGCAACTTGAGACTTTACTGTTTCAGAATTATCATATGATCTATTTTCTACTATTGCATTATCAGATCTTTCATATTCAAGACTAGATTGTTCACTCAAATCATCACCTTTAGTGCTTTTTATATACTACTCAAATACCTTATAGTTCTTTGTTGTTGTTTCAAAATCATACTTGATTCTATTTTTAGAAGTAGCAAACTTCTGATCTTCAGATTCATCAATATCAGTTCTATTAGTTTTATTATTATCAATGGTTCTTTGATAATAGTATAATACTTTACTTTCATTATAACTAATATTTTTAGAGGAATTAATCTTATTATCGTAGCTCTGAGCTATTTCAATACTACTTATAGATATGTATTCATCATTTTTATTTTTTACCTCAAACATTTCTCTATTTTTTCTTTTATTAATAGTTATCTTTCCTTTTACATTCTCTTTCTGTTCATCACTATTCATTTTATATATCTTGACTTTACTATTTTTATTACTCAGATCTTTACTAAAAGGTTTAGTTTTTATTAATAATTTCAACAAGACTTTCATTATTATATCTATTTATATAATGATAGCTAACATAGCTTCTATCAATATTATAACTTATTTTCTTTGACTTTATTATCAAGTTTATCACCAAATCTACACTCCTGGGATATTTCATTATTTGGATTAGATAAGTATTTAGATTCTTCATTATTCATTTTATATATTTCACCATTTTTAGCCAAACTAACTATTGCATTCTTTTCTTTACCTTTGTTAACATTTACTATATCAATATTATCCTTATCTCTTAGATTGTAGACCAATGCAAGCAAATTTGCCTATGTTGATACTATAAATATATTACTAATCTATTTTTTTAACAATTTAGAATATTTAAATAAAATTTGGTATAATAATATTTAAAAACTATCAATATTTTCACATCTCTTTCTATTACCTTTCTTTATATCCACAAATCTAGAAAACCTTATATCATTTATTTTACCAATTAGATATATATTACTCTTCCTTTTTTCACCTATTGCTTCTGTTAACCTTTCTTTTCTATTTTTAGATCCTTCATATCATGGTTCCAATATTCATACTTCATTTGATCTGAATAATTACAAGCTAAATGTCTTGGATAACAATGTATATAGCACAGACAGAGCCTGAAATGACAACAATTTATTTGCATCAACTTCAAGTTTTTTATGGTTTCAACAACCACTTTTACTATATTTTCAACTAACAACTCTACAAGATTACTAGTGTCTAAGTTTAGATATATATTAACTTTTATATTTATTGTCCTTATTTATTGACTCTTCACTAACTATATCTTTTGTTATTTCTTTTGATCATGATTTTTTAACTTTGTAATAGCAACCAGGTACCTTAATTTTACTAATTACAGCTCTTTCAACAAACAATAGTTTCTTTGAACCTTTATATAGCAAGATTTTAATAGCTTTGATGAGTAGGCTATTCTATTACTCAGATTCTTGTATTATATTAACTTTTGGTATACGGGTTTTTGTCTTTCTTTCTTAAGAATTTCAACTAGTGACTTGAATCAATTAAGCTAAAATTAGTTAATCAACCCAAACTAAATAAATTTCAAGTAACTGGTTAAGGAAATTCATAATCAGTTGATCTGGTACAACTGGCTAGTGAAATTTGAAAATAATAAAATAATATAATAAGGAGAGAGTAAATAATCTAAAAAGTTCTGAAAAATAAATGAATAAACAAAAATTAGAGTAAAGCTTCAAGAATTTCTAAAGATAGTAGAATATTAATCTTAACTACAATCAAACCTCTATAAATGCAATGTGTACAGACCAGCCTAAAACATGCATTTAGAGAAGTTTGTATTTAGAAGGAGCTAATCAAATTGCAGCTTTTAATATTTGATCTGCAGACTTAAAAACAAACTTAAATACTGATTTTTGATTAGCTACGTGTACTTAGAGAGGTTAGTATGATATAAAAAATCTTTTGAGTAAACGTGCATTTGCAGAATATAGAACGTGCATTTAGCATTAATGATTTTATACAGCCAAGACAAAAATGTGCATTTAGAGAGGTATTGCATTTATAGAGGTTGCATTTAGGGAGGTCCGACTGTAGTTGGCAACTAGTTGAATAAAAATTATTCAGTTCAGTTACCAATTAAGGAAAATTTTCACAGTTCAAATCACTAATTTCAACTCGCTTAGCAATACACACAGGCTGAATTAATGTTCTAAATATTTCTACTATATCAATTCAATGTCTTTAATACTACAAGAGTGACTACAGTATATTAATTATAACATTTTTCACTAAGTGAACTTAATTACTTTATTATTATTAGAGATTACTATCTTTAAATACAAGATTATCTCTGAATATATCTTTATTCAAGTTACACACATTATGCAGTACATATATACAATTAGACTTTAAATTAAATTTATGCATCAATGATCATGCCATTTATATATCCTGATTCAGGTTGAACCTAGTATTACAAAATCACAAGGTACAGAAATTCACTATGATAATGGGTAGCTGCTGGTATAAATAATGGTCCCAATATGCTACAAAATCTTTGGTTTTGGCTATACTTATATAAATTAGGAGAACTAAACTTGAAAGTAAGATTTAAATCTTTTGCTCTTAGCATCAGTAAGCAAACTAAATTAATTTTCCAAATCCTATTATATATATCCAGAATTTCCTTATCCTAATTGTTTTCTGAAGCACTAATAAGTGATAGACCTTCCTTAATTCTCAATTTGGGGGGCAGCTAAAGCCAGATACATCACGAGATTTCCCGATAATCGATGATCATCGGGTAATCACGGGATGTATTTATTTTTTTTTCTTTGAACAAAAATTTGAACTGTTTTTTACTAAGAGTTTCTTTAAACAAAAATTGCCACCACGCTTTTTTTTGAAAAGCTATCACCACGCATTTCAATATATATAAATAAAAAAATATATATATGTATATATATATATATATTTATGAAAAAAAGCCAGCATACTATCTTTTTTTTTTTTTTTTAAATACAATTTTAAAAATTTTTTTTTTTTCTTACAACTGCTCACGACGTTAAATATATCATGAACACTATAATTGAGATTTTGGATACATCTAAAAGTGATAAAGAAAACATTGAACCACTTGAAAATGAAAGCGAAAACATTGAAACATTTGAAAATGACATCATATATAATACTTTAATTGAATTAGATTTTAATTAGTAGTTTAAGTGGTTGTTATACTTATAATATAAATATATAGGTTGCGTCTATAACTCCCACGAATGGTGAAATTAAACTATATATTTCAGCACAACTTACCCCTAATCAAAAGTGCTCCCTTCTTTATAATATTAGCCAACCATTTGAAGTTTCGTTATAGGACTTTGATGATCAATGGTGGCCCCTTGTTACTAATATTTGGGCAAGATATAGCTCCAGAAAACATAATAATGGTAATCAGTCGGTTACTTATTTATATCGATTTGCCAAACACAATCCATCGAGTATATGTAAAGAAGGGTTCCGAGCGAAAAAAGGCGAAAAACAAAGTCCACCCACCAAATTTATGCAAAGCAAAAATTAGAGTCTTGCATTTGGTTACAGAGCAGAAAGTGCTCATTGAACAATTTCAAAATAGTCTTGATCATACTCATTCTATTGAAGAAAATGAGAGGTTGAAACATTCACAATATGTTCGGGACTTAGTAGAAAAGGAGATGATTAAAAATTACCCCCGCTGATAATTGTCGATGCAATTAAAGATATGCGACTAGGAAATTAGATGTTAGTGATAGTATAAAGGAGTTAAGGCAAAAAGAAGTTTATAATATTAAATGTAAAGTTTACAAACCGCAAAATATATATTTCACAGGTAATAAAAGTATGGAGTTGGACATTGAAGAATCAATCGTTTTTTTACAAAATAAAGGATATTTAGTAGAATATTATAGAGTTCATTATCGGTCAACTCGCGGCTTTGTCTTTGCGCACCCAAACAACTCAAGAAGCTTTCACACTTTGGATGGTTGACATTAATGGACTCCACGCATAAGACGAATAAGTACGATTGGAGGTTATTTACGCTATATATTCAGGACAACCATGGCTCCTGGAACGTTGGGCCCACTTTTTAATAAGTAAGGAAAATAGTGATACCGTAGCGGAGGCCTTATGAATAATCTAGCGGTTAGATCGTTCCTGAAAACCTTGATATTTCCTTACTGACCAAAGCAATGTCGAGACCAATGCAATTTCTTTAGCTAATATCTTTTAATCTAAAAACAATATCAAAAAAAAAAGGAAGCCGCTGTTTTGTAGCTAAAATCATTTACTATAACTTAGGGCCTTATTTTTTAAAAAACTATAATAACTTTTTGAGATATATTGTTTTAAAAATATAGTATTTTTATATGATAACATATAAAAAATATCAAAAATGGGACAAATATTAAATAATAATTAATAAATTTTCTTAAAAATACACTATATTTTTTTTAATAAATCGTTAAAATAAAAATCGTTAATAATTTCTACATAGTGAAGTCAAAATTTTACTATATAAATCGATATTAATTCATTAAGTAAAGTTGTTCAGAAGGTCAAAATACATATAGTTTAAAAGTTTTATATAAATTAAACAACCTTTTATTAATACATTATTGCATATTACAATTGGGTGAACAAAATTTTAACCTTTTTTAAAAATTTTCATCTAAACGTAATATGCAAAAATTTATTAACAAAAAGTTATCTAATTAATGTGAAACTTTCAAAATATATGTATTTGACCTCTCGAACAACTTTACTTAATGTATTAATGTCAATTTTCATAGTAAAATATTGACTTTACTATATAACAACTATTGACGAACCTGAAATGGGACAAATGTAGTCTTTAAGTGTCGTGCACTGTAATATATTAATTTAACGTTCTTTGAATTTAAAAACTCGATTAACGTGAAGAAAATTAAATTAGTAAAGATATTTGTTAATTAATATTATAAGTACTCAATAGTTTTCATGTTATTTAATTATTAAAAATAATTTATTTACAAACCCGATACACTGGCATTTCGCAATTACCCGAGAATCAATAATCATCGGAAAGTCTCGTGATGTACCTGGCTTTAGCCACCCCCTCAATTTGGTTAGAGTTTCTTCTGGTCCTATTAAGTTAAGTCTTCTGTATAAACTTGTAATTTTTTAAGTAAAAGTTAGTTTTACAGAAATTTGCAGTTACCTATGCTTTTGTGATGTATCATACTATTTCTTGCTAAAGCTGCAATTTCAATCTTGTTTTTTGCAAATCTGATTATCAGATTGTACATATTGTCAATCATTATTTTACTTATCTTTGTTGTTTGTAATATATAATACAACTTGGGTATTATATACATGTTATTTATGTAGAATACTTGGCTGATTGTTATTTTCTTTGTAAAAAGATTTTTAGTTGTTGAATATACAATCCTTTTGGCCTTGGTTTTGATAGCTGACTCTTTCATTTTGCTATTTAACCAAATCACTAAGAATTTTAAAATCTTTGTCTCCTTTTCTTCATGAATCTATTTATTTCTAAAGAAGATCTTCATTACTTCAAAGTTGTTTTCTGTATTTATTGTGATTAATTTTGTTTTCTTTCTATTAATTTGAATATTATTTATTCTAAAAACTCTTCTAT